GGACTAATATTTTGAAGGCTACCCCATTCAACTCACAAGAACTGCTTGACTAGGTACTAGTCCAATCTCAAACGCTACTGCAAAGGAACAAATATATAAGGTACTTGAAAGGCTTCTCCCACAGCATGTGTGCCCGCATGAACAGTCCTTTCCTTTCTCGTTTTGTTGGTGATAAGGAGACAGGTGTGGCAGAGCATCATAACATTTCAAGCAGCATCACCTGTGATACTGACCCTTCATCATGTTTACTTCCCTGTATAATCAATCCTGAAGACAGCTTTGCTATAACATCCCAACCCCTATGATGTACTCACTGGAGTAGTAGTGGAGAAGAATTCACAGCTCCAGACAGTGTCCCATTTATTTAACAGTGTTGTTATTTGTGATAGCTTCCCTTATTTCTTTCCCCCTTGATACTATGTGACATCACTTTAGCATCAAACATTACATGGCATACCTGGTATGCAGCACATGGTGTGAGGAGATCAGAAGGAGGTGGGTTCTGCCAGCAATGCTGAAGCGGAACGACAGTATAACAATAAAAGCTAATCTATTTCCTGCTATGTTTGCTTCAAGCTCTTTCCTGGCACTGGCTTGCTTTCTTCTGCCAACTTATTCATTGATAAATTAGGATATAAATTTTTTTAAATGCCCTTCTGCGATGATGTACTCAGCTAGCCTTATGAGTGCTTGCTGGTTCATTCTGCCCCGCTGCCCATTCCCATCACACTTGTGTAATGGCACCTCTGCTTGTTTATGACATTTCCTATTTCAACCAGGTTCTGTCCTTCAAGGCATAAGCTCAGATACTTGTGAATCGCCCACAGTCTTACCTGCCTAACCATTGTTATTAGGCTGTGGCAAGCTGTTTAGTAAATGCACCTTTTGCTCTTAGGAGGGATTTTCCAAAGCATTCAGAGTTAGTCGGACTGTACTAAGGATGTTAAGTAATGGTTAATTTACTAGTCGAGTAGTCGATGGAATTTCCATCAACTACTCGACTATTTAATAGGCACTTCCGCATTCCTCCTTTGAAATGTATAAGAGCTGCTTCTTGGGCTCTTGTATATTTCAAAGGAGGAACTCCGCCTGCAGCCAGTCCCGCTGAGTCTGAGCTACATGTGGCATGTCAGCTTTGAAATATACAAGAGTCCCCAAAGGGCTCCATGCTGCACTGCCGATTTGAAATGCTACATGGAGACGGGGTTAGCTGGGAACTCCCCAGCTGACAGTGGGTTCCATGCAGCATTTCCCCAGAACCCAGGGTCAACTGCGGACCTCCCAGCTGATCCTGGGTTCCATGGAAATGCTGCACTGGAGCCTGGGATCAGTCCCCAGCTGACCCCAGGTTCCACTCGCGGCACCATCGCACAGCTGATCCCCAGCTCAGCTGTGCGGTGCTGCCGCTTTGAACGTCACCTCCGCGTTTCAAAGAAGAAGCGCCGCACAGCTGATCCCGGGCTCAGCTGTGCGGCACTGCCGCTTTGAAGTACCCCCTTTCGCTCCCCCTTTGCTTCCTCTCTCTGATAGAGGCAGCAACAGGTTGGGGGGGGGGGGGATCAACTAGTTGACTGACTATCTGATAAGCATTTGCTTAGCGGATAGTTGACTAGTCGACTAGTCCTTAACATCCCTACTATGCACCCATTGAGATCAATGGGATGTTTACTCCAGTGGGAGCAGAATTAGCCAATGCTAAGTACCATCTTTCCCTCCTTGTGAAAACAACATTGATCAAAAGTATTGTGTATTTAGCAAAAAATTGGCTGTACATATAATAGTAGTCATAGATTGTAAGGCCAAAAAGGATAATTATGGCTTCTTGCATAACACAGGTTGCAAAAATTCACATAGGGATTCCTGCATCGACTCCAATAACTTGTGGTTTTCTGAGAGCTTATCTTTAGCAAAAGTAGTCTTGATATGGCTGGGGGCATTGCCCATCATCTGCAGCCATATCAAGGTTGATATAGTGGTTAGAATGCAGACCTGGGACTTGAGAAACCCATGTTTGATTTACCTTTTCCATCACAGACTTTGTGTGAGACCTTGGGCAAGTCACTTAGCCTCTCTGTGCCTTAGTTCCTGATCTATAAATGGGAATAATAGCACTGCTCTACCTCACAGGGATGTGATAAGGATAAATACATTAAAGATTGTGAGACAGTCAGATTCTGTGGAGTTGTGGGGACATATAAGTAGCTAAGATGAAATTACCTTCACTATTAAAGAACTGTTGTACCTTATTTCCAGTCTGAATTTCCGTAGATTCAATGTCCACTCACTGGCTCTTGTTATACCTTTCTCAGCTATGTTAAAGAGACCTCTGTTATCAGAAAGCATATCCCCATGTAGGTACATGGACCATGATCAAGTCACCTCTTGTTTTCAGTAAGATCAATCAATAAATTAATTCTTCCGAATATAAGTCACCTATTCATACAATCTGCAGAGTGGCATTATGAGGTCTCTCATTGTAAAATGGCTCTGATGTTTTGAAATAATTGATCGGGATTGTCCAGCCAGCAGTGTTGCAGCCAGGGCCGGCTTTAGGAAGTGCGGGGCCCAATTCGAACAATTTTGAGGGGGCCCCTTAGCAATTTTGGTTGAGCAAAAAAAAAAAAACCCCCACAAAATCTCCAGCTACCTCCCCCGCAAAGCCCTGGAGGTAGCTAACACACATACCATCCCCCAGGGCGTTTTGCACAACAGCTACACTCTTTTCGAAAAGATGTAAGCTCTCTTGTGCAGGAGGGCAGTGTGGATGCTCGGCAGGGATTTCTTGCACAAGAAACCCCTATGGCTAAAATGGCCATCAGAGCTTTCTTGCGCAAGAGAGTGTCCACACTGCCATGGATGCTCTTGCACAAAAGCACAGCTCGCACATGGCAGTGTGGATGTGTTCTTGTGCAAGACTTGTTGTACAAGAACCCTAGTGCAAGATGTTCTTGCGCAAGAAGCCGCCAGTGTAGACATAGCCTAAGAGTTTCCTCCCATGAGCAGAATGAATTGTGTTGTGCACCAGTACTGAGTTCATGTGGCTTGTTTGGATGTGCCACTGTGGCACCCAAGTTATTTATAAATATTTTATAAACCTTTACCTTTTCTCTCTACTGCCATATCTCCTCCCTTTGCTCCATCAGCTCCCCTGGTGCCTGCTGCCCCCCAACTCCTCACCCTCCTCTGCTGTCCTGACTCCTGCCCTTCTCACTGCCCTCAGCCCTCCTGCAACCTGCCCCCCTCCACCAGCTCTTCTCTCCCCCCTGTGCCCACTCCTTCAGTAGCCCCACTCTGATCAGCTGTCCTGACTCCTGCCCTGCTCACTGGCCACAGCCTTCCTGAGACCTGCCCCCCTCCACCAGCTCTTCTCTCCCCCCTGTGCCCACTCCTTCAGTAGCCCCACTCTGATCATGTGAACTACCTCTCCTCATCCCCTCTCCTAACACCTCCCTCTACACACCTGCCCTGCCTCTTTCCTCTGGTGCTGGTCCCTCCCTGCAGGTGTCTGCCCTTCTGCTTCATCCCCAGAATCCCCTGGCACCTGCACCTTCCCTTAGTCCTGCACCCTCCTGGTGCCCCCTCTTCCCTCACTGCCCCTGCCCCCTTTGCCCTCTTTTTCCCTGATGCCCACCCCCTCACCACCCTCTGCCCCCATTCTCCTCATGCCCCTCTGTGCCCTCACACATGATTTGCCCCATCTCCACCTTTCTCATGCCCACCCCTTCTTTCAAGCCTTCTCCCAGCACCTCTCCCTCCCCCTCTAATCCCAATGCCCTTATCCTCTCCTCTCCCAGCATCACCCTGTTCCCCCTCCCACTGACACCTCCCTTCCTGCCCTTTTCCTCATTGTCTGCACTTGGCCCTCTGACATTTGTCTCTCCTCCACCCTGTCTCTTGGTGCCTTCCCCTTTCTTCCCCCTCCCCCTCCTCCTCCCTCTCCTCCTCCGCACAAGCCTCTTGCTCCCCCTTCCACATTTTCTCCTCCATACAAGCCCCTTCCTCCTCTTCCCCCTCCTCACCTTACCTTACCTTCTGCCTTCCACTTTGCGGGGCCGGGGCTGGGGCCGAGGTCTACGCTCGGGCCTCAGACTCTGAACTCGGAGCTAGGCCGAACGGCGCAATGCGGCGCCGAGCAGTTTTAAAGTCCTGGGCCGTGACATCACGTCATGCCCGGGCGTATCCCCGCTCACCTGGGAATGCTGCGCATGGCAGCAATAGCCGGCAAGAGGGAGCTGGACTGAAAGCTGCACACAGCAGGGATGGGCTGGGGTCAGGGGGGAGAGGGCCCACTCCAGGCAGGGCCGGGGGAGAGGGCCAGCTCCACATATTGGTGGAGCAGGGCCCCCGGCTCTGAATATTGGAACGTGGGCACCACGAGCCGATGTAACTCGCCGGCCATACTTCCGGGTTCAGGGTGCGGGGCCCCTTTAGGCGCAGGGTCCAATTCAGGGGAATCGGACGAATCGGCCTAAGGCCAGCCTTGGTTTCAGTAGTTGATTCTTTGCTATGCTAAACTATTCAGGAACATCATATTGCTCACTTCCCTTCCTCTTGTCTGATTCAGCCTGTCCGAATTCTACTCACCCACTTGCTTGAGGCAGGTACTGGTTAAAGGAGGAGGAATATAATGTTTGTTTTTAGATGAGCATTCGTCAGCCAGTATTCCTGAATGGTGCTGCTGCCTGAAGTCTGTGACAAGTTGTGTATCTAGGCAAAAGCAGGACACCCAGATGCCTTTTTATCGTTTTAGAGATCCAGATCAATCTATAAGTTATCGTCACTCAAATGTGAGCAGACATTTGCACCAGGAGTACTGTTGTTGTGACTTATATTATGGCCAAGCTTAGAAATCAGTGTCCCATTGCTAGGTGCTAAACAAATTTGTAGAAAAAAGACCTAACTTATGCTAAAGCCCTGTCAGTCTAGATGATGGGTAGATGTTCAGGGCAGGTTTTCTGGGCTGGTATAATTGACCTTTTCCCTTATTTGCTTTTATTTAGTCGACAATGTCCATCCGCCTTTCCATCGGTGCCAGTCCAGCAGCACAGTCCAATGTCCTCCCAGGCCTCTTCCGTTAGCGGCCCACTGCATTCAGCATCTTTGCCACTGCTCCCATCAGCTGTCCCCGCTCAGCCTCCACCTGCGACTCCACCCAGCCAGCAGCTCACGCCTGATGCATATGCCATTGTGGAGCGAGCGCAGCAAATGGTGGAGATGTTGTCGGAGGAGAATCATGTTCTGCGGCAGGAGCTGGAGGGATACTACGAGAAGGCAGACAAACTTCAGAAGGTACGTGGAACGTTCTCACAGGGTATAAGAGGCAAGCCCCTTTTATAGCGTGTCTGAAGTGTGTCTCTTACCTTCCTGGGCACAGGCAGTGATCTAAGTAATCCTCCCTAACACGAGGTACTCAAACTGCATAACACAGCCTGTGGATCCTATTGTTGGGCCCTCTAAGTCCTTGCCAGTCACTGGCTGAACAGTGATTCTAATACAGTGGGCTATGCAGACTCCTTTGCCATGAAGATGTTACCCAGAAGGTTTGTGGTGTTCCCTTTTCTTTGGAGCATCTCATTCTTCAGCTTTTTAATGCCTGCCTTAGGGAATCTTCCCACAGAAATCTCCCTTCTGGAGTGCAGCATCTCAACACATGACATTTTTAAGAGAGCACCTTGTTGCAGGTGTAGCATAATGAGCAACATTTTGTACATGTCTAAAGTGCAAAATATGCTCAATGATCACTACAAAATCTGTTCTGTGTGGTCTTGCACATTTCAGTAGATTTGCATTAGTCCTTCTTTTGTCATAAGAAACAAATACACCGGTACTGTGGGTTGACTGATGTTTGGGGTTTTGGTAATAAATCTTTTCTTAGAAGTTGTTTTTAAATTAAGTTTAAAAAAAACCAACCCATAACCAAACTCATTTCTAACTTTACGTCCCCATGATTTAAAACTGGGCTCTGAAGGGGTATGTCTACACTAGCCCCCTAGTTCGAACTAGGGTGGCTAATGTAGGCATTCGAAGTTGCAAATGAAGCCCGGGATTTAAATATCCCGGGCTTCATTTGCATCTTCCCGGGCACCGCCATTTTTAAATCCCCCTTAGTCCGAACTCTGTGCCCGCGGCTACACGCGGCACGGAGTAGGTAGTTCGAATTAGGATCTCTAATTCGAATTACCGGTACACCTTGTTCCACGAGGAGTAACGGTAGTTCGAATTAGAGATCCTAATTAAAACTACCTACTCCGTGATGCGTGTAGCCGCGGGCACGGAGTTCGGACTAAGGTGGATTTAAAAATGGCGGTGCCCGGGAAGATGCAAATGAAGCCCGGGATATTTAAATCCCGGGCTTCATTTGCAACTTCGAATGCCTACATTAGCCACCCTAGTTCGAACTAGGGGGCTAGTGTAGACATACCCCTTCAGAGCCCAGTTTTAAATCATGGGGACGTAAAGTTAGAAATTCACTTTTAAGGCCTTTTAACAGGTGACATGATTTATCAGAGCTGCTTCCTTTGACCTAATTTGGATTAACAAACCCAATTGATATATATTGGCCCAAACTATTGGCACTCTTACTCTGTGTAAAATAATTAAATAGTTAAAAACTCTGTTCATATTTACATTATGGGTATGTCTACACTACAGAGTTTTTTCAGAAAAACGTCAGTTTTCCGGAAAAACTTCAATTACATCCACACAGCAATTGCATTCTCTAGAAAGAAAATCAAAAGAATAGAGGGGGTTTTCCGACATTGGTAATCATCTTTCTATAAGGAAGAAGCCTTTTTCTGAAAGCTCTTTTGGAAAAAGGCATGTGTGGATGGGAAAGAGGGTTTTCTTTGGAAAGAAGAGGCCTCCAGGAAAAAGCACAGGTGCCCTGGTGGCCACTCTGTCCAAAGTAATCACAACTCTATTGTTTCTGTCTCCTGGCCCCTCTTAAAGCTGCAGGCACCCAGGAGGCCGGCCCTGGGAGTAGCACCTGACCATGCGGCTCTCCCTGCTACCCAGAAAATTAGCAATGGCCGAGCCACAAGCCCCCCATGACCTCTGGCCCTCACAGGGAGCAGCCCCAGAGCTCTCAGGACACACTCAGGTGGACACACCCAGGAGGCGGGCAGCCTCCTGGTCCGAAGCGGAGAGCCTGTCCCTCCTCGATCTGTGGGGCGAGGAGGAAACATTGCAGGATCTTCACTCCAAGTGGCGCAACACCGAGATATTCAAGTGCATGGCCGAGTCCCTGGTGGAGCGTGGACACCCACCCCAGACTTTGGAACAGGTCCGGAGTAAGGTGAAAGAGCTCTGTCAGGGATACATGAGGGCCAGAGAGTGTAGCTCGCACCCCGGGGCAGGACCCGACACCTGCCCCTATTACCAGGAGCTGCACCAAATCCAGGAGGGTGGAGAAGCCATTTCCTCACTGTCAGCCGACGGTCAGGGCAGTGAGTCCCTTATGACCGGCTGAAGTTCTTTTAAATTGTGCTTGGTTCTGTTACAGCAACTGAAGGAGCCAGGTTAAAGCTTAAACAGTTACTATTTTATTGTTACAGGGTAAACTTAGTTGTTAAATGCTACTGCTGTGTTACAGATAACACAGACACTACAAAGGACAGGACAGAAATTACACTAATAAGTCACTTACAGGTACCATGAAACCCTTTGGTTCTCTGAGCTCTTATTAAATACATGCAAAATAGACACATAGCAGGTATATATTCTCACCCCTGCGTTCCAGACTTGGCGTGGCCAGCGTCTTTCTCTCAATCCCTCGGGAAGAAGTAGGGCGAGGTTGGGCGTCCCACAGAACTCGGGAGACAATCAATACCTGCCAGCAGGTATAGATGATTGGAGCTCAAATGGGGTGGGCTACTAAACCCCTCTTTATACCCCTTGGGTCACGTAGGCTTCTTCCTGGTCTCAAGTGGCCAATTAGGAAAAATGGCTTTGAATGCCAAGTTTCCCACGAAGGGTGCAAAGCATAATTCACACCTGGGAAAATGCAGACAATGGGCACCTCTGGTATGTGATGGGCGAAGATTCCTCTCCTGGGACAGTGCAGGCGTGTCAATTACTGGTACTAGCCATCAGGGCGACGGGAGGCCCCGGGTCGTCAGCTAGCCCATTTACTGTCTGGTTTCTGTTTATGGTAGAGTCAGGGACAGGCAGCAAACCTGTGTTCCCAGGGCATCAAAGGCTGACTGCCTTTCTCTTGCTCTCTGGGGGGGGGGGGGGGGGGAACAAGATGGGGCTCGTGGAAAAACAAGATGGGGTTTTGTGTCTGGCTACACTCACCCGTCATCGTGGACTCCAATCTCGACACACCTGTCGTCACCCGGCCAGAGGTCACAACAGAAGAGGAGAAGGAGGACCAGGGACAAGAGGAGGAGGAGGTGGACGATGTGGCTACTGTCACGCTCTCCTTAGAGCTGGTTCCTGTCAGCCTGGATGTCTCCCAGGCTGCTTCTGACTCTGGGGAGGGATCTTCAGGTGAGTGCTCTCAGTTTGTCACACTCACAGGGTGGGAGAGGTGGGCACAGAGGGGGAGGGGTGCGAGCATTGCTCGGCAAGCTTAGGCTGGACAGTGTGCTGCAGTCTGTGCACATGGAACCACGTGCAGTGTTACTGTGTGCCACGCAGACTCAGCAGGCAGCCCCTGAGCACAGCCGTGATCCTGTTCCCAGGCTCAGGGGAGGCCACACATACTTCTGGTCCTGGGTGGGGCAGCCTCCCAGCACCTGCCACAGCTGGAAGCAGGCTAGTCACAAGGGCGCAGGCATGACCCCAGACACACCGAGAAGTGCCACACACAACACATGGGCTTGCCTGCACGTGCGAGGCAGCCCCCACTCCCATGGGCAGTGCTGCAAGGTGCAGGTGTGTGTGTGTGAGGGCCCCAGGGAGGGCCAAGCTGCACCCAGCTCCTCTGCCACCCATGGGGGGATCCCACTGTGGCTGTACACTTCCCTTGCCTTCTTGTTCATGGGCGGGGTGGGGAGGAAGCAGTCAACATGGTTTCCTGGGCACCTCGGGGCCCCTGTGAGGCAGGGCCTGCTGTGCAGGCCACACATGGCCTTGCTCCCGGGACATCCCCAACCTTTGGCCCAAGAACTGTTGCTTGCTGTTCACAGGTGAGGGCACAGCCTCAGGGACAGTGTCTGCATGGATGACTGACCGCCTCTCCCTCTTTTTGTTCTCCACTGCTGGACGAGTCGGGACTGAGGGGCGAGCCACGCCACCAGATCCTGCCACCAGAGCCTGGGGGACCCGAAAGTGTGCCAGAGTGCATGAAGACCTGATGCGACAGCATGTCAGTGTCCTGTGCAAGATGCAGCAGACCCTGGTGCAGAAGAACTGGGAGGACACGCCAGGGACCAGCTCATGCAGCAGTGCGATAGCACATCTGCCATCATGAGAGAAATGACGACACACCCGGCTGCTGTTGCTGTTCCTGCCTACCACCCTCCTGCTCTCCCTGCTATGCCCATTCCCCCTCCTCCTGTCCTCCAAGTGATGCCTCTGCTCCCTCCCCAAATTATTGCCATGCCTCCTCTCCCTGCCTCCCCTGCCATCCCTGACCTTGCTCCAGCTCCCCTCCTGCCCACCCCCATGTGGTCCCAGGACCCACCCAACCCCAAGTCCGACGAGGTTCCCGCATCCGAGGTGGCACATACAGCCGGCCCTGACGTCACTCCAAGCTACCCTCCCTGTCTAGGTTAGGACCTCCCCCCCCCCTTTTTTTTTTCTAAAACACAAACACAAAGTTCGTTTTCTTCAAAAACAAACAGGTGTATTTATTGAAAGTTCAGGGAAGGGGCAAAGGGAGGGGTTGTGGTGGGAAAGGGATAGTGCAGCAAGTCAGAGGCCCCTAGGAGGGAGGCCCTGGGGAGTGTTACTGGGGTCCTTGAGAGAAACTCTCCCTCAGGGCCTCCTGGATGCGCACCCCCAACCTGATGGGCCTGTCGGATGGCAGCTGTCAGCAGCTGCTCAAAGGGTCTCCTCTTGTGGCCGGTGTCTGTCCACCACCCCAGCAGGAAGGTCTCCCCCGGAATGAGGTGTACCGGTCGTTCGAATTAGAGATCCTAATTCTAACTACCTACTCCGTGCCGCGTGTAGCCGCGGGCACGGAGTTCGGCTAAGGGACATTTAAAAATGGCTGCACCTGGGAAGATGCAAATGAAGCCCGGGATATTTAAATCCCGGGCTTCATTTGCAACTTCGAATGCTTACATTAGCCTCCCTAGTTCGAACTAGGGGGCTAGTGTAGACATACCCTCTTGTATTAAGCT